GCCGCACGACAACATATAGACTAGATGTATCAACAAGGCTGAGTACATCGATGGCGTGGACTCAAAAGTTTCTTCATTTGGGAGGGGGGGGGGAAGGGAAGGACTATATTTTCTCATATTTTTTACTTGACTTATTCCTTTGTCGCCCTAGGGGAACAAAGGGCTGCAGACACACCTCTCCACCTGACTTGGTTTTGAGCGACCCTCTTTATTTGCTCCCACGTAAGCCCGTCATCCCTTGCCCCATATTTATTAAGACTTATATATGAGGTGCACTTTCGTTTCCGCCACTACGTATATATATATATATATATATATATATATATATATATATATATATATATATATATATATATATATATATATATATATATATATATATATATATATATATATATATATATATATATATATATATATCACACACAAAAAACTCGGGTGCCAGGAGAACAAATCCCCAGTTTCCTACTACCTGGGATGAGATACTGTTAGGCAAGTTGAAGTCAGTTGTTTAACAAGCATCATAGCAAAACAGTGGCATTGCCATGGAAGTGAGAGTTATTTCTGTTGTTAAGCATTATGGTAATTATTACTTTCTCGTATACGAAGTATAGAGAAAGTATTGTAATCGTGCAAAAAAAATCGAGACTTTTGCAAATCTCGACGTTTTACACCTCCCTGAGTTTTGCAATCTTTTCCGTATGTCTGTGTGTGTATGTGTGTGTGTATGTGTGTCTGTGAACACTATAGCTTGAGTACCAGTTACAGCTAGGTTGATGAAATTTCATATACAAGTATTATATCAAATTTGTAGTTCTGTTTCAACTTTTCCGGTAACCGGAAATTGCAATTATTCTGCTTTTAATTTTTCAAAAGCCTATAACTTGAGTACTATTTCAGATAGATAAATGACGTTTCACATGTAAGTAACAGATCTAATTCTCTGCCTTCTATCAAATTTTGAGTAATTTTCGTTGAACAGAAGTAGTAATTTACGTTATTTGCGATTTCTCAAAAAACGCATGTGAATTTATAAAATACTAACAATATTCCGCACTTTTATACACAGATTGTTTGGCGTTCACCTTGTTCACCTTCTTTTTTCTACGAGATTCTATTCTGTTTAAAAAAGTTTAAGTAATTAAAAATTGGATTAAAAATCATGTCTATATCCCGAGTAGCCATCCCCCGTAGTGTTATATAAGAATATTCCAAAAAGTTTAAGGGAGATAACTCCCGGTATATTTTAATTATACTCCTGATCAAGGTTTATTTCAGATAAATTATCCAGGGGGGGGGGTGCAATTACAGTTTTCGAAAGTGGAGGGGGGGGGGAATTTAACATTTCCCTGGACGCTGGCTAAAGTATGTATACTCGCTATACATTTTTTTTCACTTTGTCCGGAATGGTGGTGGGGGGGGGGGGGGGGCTGTGTTCCGGGACGGGACACTATTCCCCCCTCTCCTCCCCCCCCCCCCCCATTCCCCACGAAGAGATGCCTGAAAAAATAAAATCTGCTTTTGATAGGCCATAATAACATATTGGTCATACACCTGTTATCGGTTATTAAGTTTTCGTTTGGCGAGATAGTAAGAGATTGATTTACGTTTTTTTTATTGAAAAAAAAAAAACCGCGATATTCGAAATATCACCGATACTGGTCGATTATTTAATTATACGACTAACTGAAATATGCCACCATCAATCATCAATGTTTTATCTAAGCTGCGCAGTGGTGCGGCCGCGCAGCAGTTGTAAACCTACTGCATTTCCTCCTTGTAAAATACAAATACCCTTATAAAAATCGTCTCAAAAATACACGTTAGACATAGCATTTTTTCTCCTTAGAGTGAACTTTGTACTACTCACAGTCTTACATCAGTAACCTTAACTCACTAATGTCATCTCTTACCGTCACGCTAGCCTCCCCTGATTTAATTATGTATTCCTCCGACCACAGTTCACTGCTACATCCGGTTCACTGTATGTTGGTCACGTGGTCGGTATTAAACAGTAAGCCCCGGATGTCCAGGGATGAGCCCCCCCTGCCCGGCGCCCTGATTCAATTAGACCCTTTCTTTCACGGCCCGATCACTGGAACTGACCGCCGAGTATCAAAGCCTCGGCTGATGCTACTCTCTTTAAATGCTTGAGCTTAACAGGCGCTAAGTACATTGGTAGGGCTGTCGGTCCTTGTCGTAGGAGGTGGATGGTGTCGGGGAGTCGGGACGGTGGTGGTTGTGTGGTGCGTCGGTGTAGGGTTGTGTGATGTGTTAGGGGCTGTGTGGGGTTGCATGCTATATTAGGGGCTGTGTGTGGTTGTATGATATATTAAGGGCGGTGTGGGGTTATTTGGTATATTAGGGGCGGTGTAGGGTTGTATGATATATTAGGGACGGTGTATGACAGTCAGTACTTGTAAGATGGCAGAATATTCATGACGGGTGAGCTATGAATGACAGTGAAGTTAACTAATTCTACTCGACATAAAAAGTAGTTTGGTGAAGACAGCGCAGATACCACTTATTTTAACATTTCATCGTGTAAGAGAGAGCCAACAAATGTAGATTGAATGTGGGATGTTATAGATTGGAGAAACAAGCCAAGTTGGACAATGGGATGTCCTACAAACAGGAGCCATCAGGTTGGTTGAACGCTCTACAGATCCACCAGACAAAGTGGATTACGGCACGTCTAAAGTTCCATCAGGAAAACACGATACACATTTACCCCTCATAAAAAGCTGTACAGGTTTAGACTAGTGTGCAACTGATCTTATACGAGCACAATACTGTTTAACTTAGATCTTATGATTTAGTATTTACTCTATTTGCATCGTGGGAATATTTTGTTAAATATATCTGTCGCATTAACTTAATTAGATTTTTTAATTAGCCGTAAAAAAGATCCTACCCCTATTTATATACTGACGGCTTTCAGGTATAACTTAACCATACCACAGAATCTGTGGGTATAGCTAAGCCATACCTCATTCGGTGCAGGTATAGCTGATGATGAAGCCAGCATTTGCTCAGCTAGAGAACCGTTATCATCAACTCAGTAGCGATGGCCAACCCGCCGGCATCACGTGATGACGTTGTTACCTCCCTTGGTGCCCATATAGTATAACGCGTGTATCAGAACTAATGACCATAACTTTCTGTCAATGGCCATTTGGATCCAACAAGCGCTTCGTACAGTGCATAATGAGTGGGTGTGTGTTTGTGGGTGTGTGTGTGTGGGGGGGGGGGTACCACAGACTTAGTTCTACTAACTACCGCCCCAAATAATGGGTTGGTTTTCGATGTCAACCCGTCCAAGACTACCTCGAGCCTTAAGGGTGGCCTGCTAATGACAACCATAATCTCGTTATCACCGGGTACAACCCGAAAAATTTGGTATTGTGACAACCTTAATTCAACTAGCATATAGCGCACCTCCCTTCCTCTTTCATCCCACTGTCAAAAGTAAATGAGCCAGAAAAATATACCCAGTCAGTGATTGATTAATGACTCGGGATTCAGTCTATGAATAATTAATGTACATGATGTAACCGCACCTACATGGCATGACCAAACTGTGACAACAGGGGCAGCTACACCAATGTCATTTCTGCACACACACTCACTCACTCACACTCACACACTCACACTCACTCACACTCACTCACACACACACATACACACACAAACACACACACACACATACACGCACACTCACACTCACACACACACACATACACACTCACTCACAATGTTTTTAATCGTTCAAACAGCGGGTGGCCTTTTATTTGATTACTTTTGGATTTTTTTGGTTCGTTAATTAATCTATAATTTATACTGATCACAAGGGGGATCACTGCACACGTACAGGCCTAATCCTAGTCTTTTACTTTTAACTCAACGGTAGAGTAAAAAATGTTTTAAATAAGAAAATAAAGCCATTCCAGATTTCTCAGTAAACAATTGTCAAAAAGAGCAAAATGTAAACATTTCAAACAAAACTGGTGATGTGGTGATCGCGCAGTTGTCGTCAGGTTTACTTTTGGTCAGGGGCGTAGCGAGGGGGGGGGCGGGGGGTGCGGACCGCACCGGGTGACACCATTTAGGGGGGTGACACCAAGGCAAAAAATAGCAAAATATATAGAGAAAAACTCGAGGGGGGGGGTGCAAATCGAAAGTTTGAGGGGGGGGGGGGTGCAAATCGAAAACTTGAGGGGGGGGGGTGCAAATCGAAAACTTGGGGGGGGGGGGTGCAAATCGAAAGTTTGAGGGGGGGGGGGTGCAAATCGAAAATTTGAAAGTTTGTCCCTGGGAAGGGTCTCTATGCCTCTGGGGGGGGGGGTGACACCATTAAGTGCCGCACCGGGTGACACCCGACCTCGCTACGCCACTGCTTTTGGTAAAGAACATCATAAAAAAACAAGTAAAAATATGTTTAATTTATTTCAAACAAAAACTAAGAATTTTAAAGACAGTTAAAATTTTAAAGAAAAAGTCAAAAGACAATATGGCTGAAGCGGTAAATGTTATAGTTAATAGTAAAGGCTTAGAAGTGTTGAAGAGAACTTGAAAATAACTTTATAATCAAAACTAAGATCTAAAAATATTTTTTATTATGCCACTTTTAAGAAATGTAATGTATTGTTGGAGAACGTATTTCCCGGTAAACTTATTTAATACTTTAAGAGCTTTTAATTTATTTTCTTTGACTTGAATAATTTAAAACAAAAAATTTTAACACTTGTATAGATGTATATGTTCATAAAAGCAGTTTTTACACTTGTAGAACAGACACATTTTTGAGAAGCTGTAAGTCATGAAAAACAGTAATTTTAATGCGGACTGTATTGCTCTTTCTAAATATTTATGAAGACACGAGTTTTATTGATGATCTGTAGTAAAAGTAATACTTTCTTTTGTTTTACAAAAAGAATATATCTAAAAGTAAATAAATAACACTTATGACAGGGCAGAAATGAAGAAAAATACGAACTTACTGATGGGTTATTTGGCTGTTCTATCAAATGTCTACTAGGCTGTTCTATCAACTGTCTTGTCTGCTCCGACTGTCTAGAGTTCTGTCGTCTGCTACTGCTTCCTCTGCGTGTGGCACACCTTTCCCTTCTGCTGGCACCTTGACTGGACCTGACCGGCAGTGACGTCCCACGCGTCTCTTAACGAACGAACCAATCAGCACGCAGGCAAACACCAACGCCTCTGCCTGTCTCTGAGGGTTTTTTTTTCCCCTTCCCGTTTTAACTCCGCGAAGTCCGCAATCCCTTTTCTGATTTTAATCTAAAATATTGATGATCTCTGTAAATACGCCATTCTTACACACACAAGCCCAGATAATAAAAGTTTAAAAATGTGTACATGCGTCAAATATCCCTAAGTCTTCTGTTACGTCCCACTCTGAATTTGAAAGTGCCAGGATTGCATGTCAAAACCCTCCAGCCAAAGAAAACAAAAGGTGCCATTGTAAAAGTCCCTAGCCCTGACAATAGAGATATTGATTGTACAAACGCCACGTCCTCGTGCATTTTTTGTTCTGCATCAGCCGCCACTGCAACTAGTTGATAGGGTGGTGTTAGTTTTCATAACGTTTTCATCCAACTACACTAGATCCCATTTGTCGTCTTCCGAACTTAAGTCATGGCAGCCGAAATAACTTTCTTCCAGAACCAACCCTTTTGTTGAATTACCTGAAATTTTGTGCCCAAGTAAAATCAATATATGCATGTGGAATTTAACTATCAAATTTCAAATGGTCTGTATTGTATTCAGTATTTCACAATTCTGTGCATTCGATGATGAATTGAAATGTACTTGTTACCCTTTTAGTGTTGTGTTTGCACTAACCTATTCTGGGTTCAAATAGTCAATCGGACAGAGAAGACAGAATTTTTTTAAAAATGTAGTTGTCGTGGCGTTAGTACACCGACAGGCATTTTTTTCTTTTTCTTTTTTGTGTGTCTGTTACTCCAATAGACAGAAAAGTGAGGGAAGTTTAAATAATTCGAGTTGTCTTGTCACATTATACAAATTAACCGACAAAATGGATTCCTTTTTTTATCGTGGGGGTGGGGATGAAAGATAGACCTTACCAGATACTTAATAGGCACGAAAAGTCTGGTGTTAGCGCATGCAAACATAGGTCACGATGTCGGTATTTGGGCAGGGGTTTGTGTATCTCAAACCTCTAGTTTCATTCTCCCGATTCGTAAAACTACGTGTTGCAATGCACTATGGGAAAATAGGTTAGGGGGAGGGGAGGGACAAAAAAAATCTGGTTGAATCGAAAGTGCCATTATCGGTTGGCATTGTAGGTGAGAGAAATGCTCAATTCTACATGACGTGGTCGTCTGGTTGGTGGAAGAGCTGCGTACAGACGGGTTAGACAAACAAAAAATTTGAGCGAACGGTTACATAACGGTTGCATCGTCCTTTACATCCGGTCTAAAAGACAATGGCGACTAGATCTGGTGATCACGTGATCGTTGGTGCTGTGAAATTAATACTGTAGATAATCAATTATCAATTAAACAAGTCAATAAGTTATAGATTGTGGAAAATATAAAGAATAAAATTGTGTGTGTGAGCGATAGATTATGTGTGAGTTCGTGGGTATTGTGTGTGTGTGTGTGTGTGTGTGTGTGTGTGTGTGTGTGTGTGTGTGTGTGTGTGTGTGTGTGTGTGTGTGTGTGTGCGTGTGCGTGTGGGACACCTAACTAATCTTGTGAACGCGTATATGGCTGCTACTGATGTTAATGCTTATGTGGATGTTACTGATGTTAATGCGTATATGGCTGTTACTGATGTTAATGCGTATATGGCTGTTACTGATGTTAATGCTTATGTGGATGTTACTGATGTTAATGCGTATATGGCTGTTACTGATGTTAATGCTTATGTGGATGTTACTGATGTTAATGCTTATGTGGATGTTACTGATGTTAATGCGTATATGGCTGTTACTGATGTTAATGCTTATGTGGATGTTACTGATGTTAATGCTTATGTGGATGTTACTGATGTTAATGCGTATATGGCTGTTACTGATGTTAATGCTTATGTGGATGTTACTGATGTTAATGCGTATATGGCTGCTACTGATGTCAAAGCTTATATGGCTGTTACTAATGTCAATGCGTATACGGTATATTGCTGCAACTGATGTTAATGCGTATACTGCTGCTACTGCCTAATTTTGGCTTTATGTTTGTCCTGTTTTCCCCCGCCCCTAATTATCCCCTCCCCCTCTCACAATGGCGACCTTTTGGGACAACATTTTTTGTAGTGTTTTGTAATCCTGGTTTCTCCAAATTATTCGCTGGCACAAGCCCACGGCTGTTTTTATCAACACAACACACATTCTCCCATTCTCCAGCTGAACTGTTTATGTTTTTTTCTTTCTTATTCGTTGTTTTTTTATCATTTAATTTCAAATACTGCTTAGTCAGTGCTTATAGTGCAGTTTAGATGTGTTCAGAACAATTTGAGAACCATTATTTCTAGAGTAATGCACTAAAAGACTACAGAGACTTGGTCGTTTTGCTGTAGACAGTTACAGTTATTAAAAAAATATTACGTTAAGTAAAATACGTAACTCTTTATAGACCAAGATAATTTTATTTTTACAATAACTAAAGCTTTTGTGGAAATACTTGTTCAAGCAGAAAATATTTTTTCTCATTAACACAAAGAATAAAAAAATAAGGTGAATTTAGTTTTGTTCTTTAAAAAAATAGTTTGAAGTAATGCACTCATCCAACCCAAATTTTTATTTATTTCGCACGTTGATAGAATAGTGTTTTTTTTGTTGTTGTAAAAAAACAAACACATCCACAACAGCAGTGATGGTTCTACATTAACTAACACACACTTTCAAAATTATCGGCGGGTATGAAAGCTAAACGACGTGTTTTATAGCTCTATTATTTCAGGCTAGAAATGAGAACCTATTTCTACCTGGTTTGTTGTTTCACGATGGATATACTTTACTTTGCTATGAAATAGGCAAAATTACTAAATCAGTGAGACAGTCTACTTTATATATATATATATATATATATATATATATATATATATATATATATATATATATATATATATATATATATATATATATATGGCGGGGGTGTTCGAAAACAATTGCGAGGGTGGGGGGGGGGGGTTAGTTTCGCTAGTGCTGCAATAGTAACAGATTTTTTTTTCTAAAAAAAATATTTGAACGCAAAATTTTATATTTCACACTTTAATGGCAGCAGAGCGCAAGCCTAAATTCTCCGTCTAGGGAAAACATTTTTTTTTTAAATCTCGTGAACTCGTGTTTAAAACGAAACTTTACACCATTGAAATCTCTGTTTCGGCACAATCATTCTTTTTTATGTTTTATCATTCATAAAATTTTTATGAGGAAATAATTTGTTAGCAGGTTTTAAGATTTTATTTATCCCTATGTAATTTTATCTTGTGTGTCCCGGTTATTGAATGGGTCGCAGGATCCTCAGGGCTAGGGAAAAAAGTCTCGAGAGAGGAGCTCCTAAATTGAAAAATATTTTTTGTCCTTGTCTGTGTATTGATTAACAAACAACGGACGAACTATATGTTCTGTGTGTATTTTGTTTTATGATGTAGAATAATACTAAAGGGAAATCATTCACATTCAGAAAGTATTGTTTAATGTTTTGAAGTTGTATATAATTCGTCTTGTATGAATATTAAACGAGAATTATATTAATCATATCGAATGATTACTTAATTTAGTTAGTGTTGAAAAATTGTACTGAGAAAGATTTTTTGTCAGCGACTAAAAGTTAATGATGAACTTGTTCGAACGGTTTTCGATCGGTATCTAATCTTATAAAACCTTTCCATTTATATACGCTGCAAATGATGCAATACAGATGCTAAATGTATTGCACAAAAATCTCCTAAACAATGAATCGTTTAGTGTAAGTTATCCCTTTGCGGATGGGAGGTAATTTTTATTATTTACAAATCTAACTCAAACATAAGAATCGGGAACAAGAGGGCTGTCGTTTGAACACATTGATTATTTTGTATTAAAAAAAACACGCCGTTTAGTGGTTTTAATGTAAATTCCCCTGATAAAATTGATTGGACCAGTCGTATCAATATTGCATGTATTTTTAATCATCTATTTAATTTGTAAATTTAGCACTGGATCGTCCTAGATATCCCAGTGATCAATAAATAAAGAATCAAAGTGTGACGGACGCGGACAGGGCTTTAGGGGCAAGTAACTCGGTACAGGCTGAGGGATAAGCCGATATCAAGAGTACATCAGATATAAGGACACGCAAATATTATATAATTATATATATATATATATATATATATATATATATATATATATATATATATATATATATATATATGTTTGTGTGTGTGCTTATTTATATATATTATTATGCTAGCCGTCCGGTCAGGCCCTGCGCTGGCCTCTGTGAAAAATATATCAATAAAGGACCATGACAAGTGTGTTTAGTAATCAGCATATACCCGACATTGCCCACCATAACCACAACCAACCAAAACCAAAACACAAAAAAAAAAACGCAAACATAACTTAAACGCAATTCAAACACAAACGAAAACACCATCGCAAACACGACCACAAACACAAAGAAAACACAAACGCAAAGCAAAAAGCCAATGAAAACAAACCAAATCCAATGCAAACCCAAACGCAAACCCAAACACAATATATATATATATATATATATATATATATATATATATATATATATATATATATATATATATATATATATATATATATATTTGGCTATACATATATTTATACGAGACTATGAATTCTCATTATACCGTCCTAAAATTCTTGTCTTAAGTTGTAACTGAAGATGTGTTTACCTGGTCGCGAAGTTACTATCGATTTTCATCTGTCCAAAGTTATGCGATTTTCTTATTAAATCATTGTCTGTCACTCATTAGCATTATCGATTACACATTAAATTCTGAAAGAAACTTCCCACGTGCGCTGATTTTTTAACCAGAGCTAGTGTTACATAACGCCCATACACTGATTCAAATTTTAATTAAACATAACAGTGACATTGGGAATGGTTACAATTACTCGTATTATAACGGTCTGATTAATTATAGTTACAATAATC